CAAAACACCCGAACCCTGAAAAAATAGTTTTTTACGTAAATCCACGTTTATTCTGAAATGAGCCGTTGCGACTTCCGACTGATTTCGATAGAGCGGGTCACATTTAGTTTTCTTCTGCGCTGGTTCTTCTGACATGTTTGCAAGTGTATATATTATTTCTAGGTTAACGGCTGACACACACAGAACAACGTAACAAATAAAGTAAACAACGTAACAAATAAACAAATCTAAGCTTTTTTATTGGTTGTAATTTACATGGATACATTTGAATGGTGTGACAATGTCCTATTTGATTGGGTTAAAATGTACATATTCTTCCTGTTATGTCTGCCTGCTTTATTTTACCTAATGCAAAGTTACCTGCTGCTCCATCGAAATCAGTCGCATTGACCCGAAGACATATTTTGATTCCTAGCTTTCTAATGATATCAGGATTGTTTTTGTACTCCAAATATTAAGCAAAATATGTCACATTATATAATGACTGTTACAGAGTCATCATTTTGAGAAAAAGGCCTTTAAAGTTTTCTCTTCTCTGGAATCCATCATTTCTCATCATCAATCATCATGATTGATTATTAGCGGAGCAAATGATCAAAATACTACGGAGGAAAGATATTTTCGTTTGGATTACTGCACTCACGAGAAACACCGGCTGTTGTTATGCCTGCTGTGACGTTAAACTACTCCGTTCTCCGCTTGTAATTATGCCGTCACAAGCTTCAAAGTTGTAGGCCTATTTATCATCTGAATTTGCCGAAACAAGTTTAATATTCTGAAATCCAAGACTTTGCTTATTTGAAATCAGATAAAAACAAACTGTAACGGACCCTGCCGTGTTATCTATGATTACTCTACACCTTACATTCATAATTTCAGCGGGAGGGAGGGGGGGCGGCACTGAGGAACAGCAGAGTGGCGAGAGCTGTCATCTTCCCTTTACAAGCTTCAAACATGCCTGTAGCTAGTGAGATTGAATATAACAATCAAAAATAACAAAATATACACAGCTAGATCAGATCACGTTTTAGATGCGACTTTAGAGTAGAGGGGAATTATTGAAACGGGATTTGTACAGTTTTCCACGGCACAGTTTCATGGAAACACATCAGCTTTTGGACGACAGTCAATATGGATTCAGGAAAGATAGATCAACATCTATGGCACTAATGGAATTAAGTGAGGAAATAGCAAACTGCATGGACAATAAAAAACAAGCAGTGGGAATATTTATAGACTTACAAAAAGCATTTGACACCATAGATCACAATATTTTACTGATAAAACTGGAACGGTATGGCATCAGAGGGGTGGGATTAAACTGGGTGAGAGATTATTTAAGCAACAGACAACAATTTGTTGAATTTGTTGAAAACATAAAACAAATCCACAGATACAATTAATACTAGATAACATACACATAGAAAGAGTATATGAAATTAAGTTCCTTGGTGTGGTTTTAGACCACAAAATCAGCTGGAAACCTCATATCACTCATGTAAAAGCAAAACTGGCTAAAACAATATTGGGAAAAGCCAGATACATTCTGGACTATAACTCATTGTATACTCTATATAACACACTAATATTGCCACATCTGATTTACTGTGTGGAGATTTGGGGAAACACGTACAAAACCAACCTACAGCCGTTATGCACATTACAAAAAAGGGCTATAAGAGTTATCAATAATGTTGGATATCTTGAACACACTAATGTATTATTTTTGAAGTCACACATATTGAAGTTCATTGATCTGGTTAAATTTAAAATGGCACAAATCATGTACAGAGCCAGACATAATCTACTTCCTAGGAAATTAAAAACATTGTTCATAGACAGAGAGGGTGGGTATCATTTGAGAGGAAATCTACATTTTAAACAACTCAAGGTCAGAACAACTCTGAGAAGTATGAGTTTAACAATCTGTGGGGTGATTTTATGGAATGGTTTGGAGCAGGAGTTAAAACAAAGCACAAGCATAATTCAGTTTAAAAGGATGTACAGAAACACTTTTTTGGAAAAATATGAGAATGAAGAAAGGTGATTGAAGACGAGAAATTATTGTATATGTATAAATGTAAATCTAAGTAGGAATAACTTGCATAATGATTTAAAGGACAATCATTGATCAAGTAAGGGGTGGGAATTAATAAGCATTTGCTTCCTCCTACTCCCTTTCGGACACATATGATTTATTATTATTATTATTAATATGAAGACTTTTTTTGTTTTTTTTGTTGAATATACAAATATTACCATGAATGTGGATACATACTGTATTATAACAATACGGTATTCTGTTTTTCACATTTGTTATTTGTTATTTTTGAATCTGTTCGAAATAAAGACTGAAAAGAAAAAAAAAATAATAATAAATCTGCTGCTGCGAAAATGTGGGGCAGGGCTGAAAAGTGGGGGGGCCAATGGCCCCCTGGCCCCCCCGCTTCCGGCGCCCTTGGAAGCAGGTCAGTATTAAGTCTCATGAAAAGGGTGTACTCAGGCCAGAATTGAAAGAAAACTACAAAGTGGACTAAACAGGAAATAGGCTTAGTTGTTGTTCTGACTTCAAAGGTCCCGGAGTGGACTATAAGAGAGTGAATACAACTGTACCTATATTATCTTGAATAAATAATGTTTATAATAAAAGCACCAAATAGATTAAATAAAAGGCAGAGATATCAAGTACCTTTAATGTGTTTGGCCGCGCCAGTCTGGATAAGGTCAGGCTGGGCTGGGGAAACCGGGCTCCCTCAATCCAAACCGTAATGGGGTACAGTCAAACCGAAGCTAACCACACCTCCCCTTCTCAGCCACGGCAAACCCAGATCCGACCAAGGATTGGACTGCAATAGTCAAGACAGGACCTGTCAAAGCTGGGGGGAACCGGACTTAATTAATCATAAACAGCGATGGGGCGCTGTCTGATTAAACACAAATACACCTCCCCTTATCCATCCGACAGGCCTGAGTCTAACTCTAAACTTAACTATAAATAAAATAGTAATCTCATTTAAAGAGAGAAATAATTATTATAATTTAAGTATCCCATAGATTAAAATAGGAGACATGCAGAGGAAAACTCTGTAGCATTTTCTATCTAATACAGACTCCCCAGCTATATTGGAAGTGTATATAATAAAACCTATTTATCTACGTTTGTTAACCATGTTTTATCTCAAAAGGGTTTAAATATAGTAACTATAATATGTAAACAATTAAACATGATCATTACTGACTTGATTAATAAATCATTTAATGTAGAATCGAAAGGATTATGACAGTATCACAGTTGAAATAGCGTGTTCTAAGCCGCCATTTTGTAGCCTTGTTTACAATAAAAACGATGTATTTATTTGGGCTTCTCAGATATATTTAACCTCAACTGAGTCTTAGGTTAGCAGTTCTAATATATTAATAATTAAACCTAATCACTCCCGACATTTAATGATCAATTAATCAATGTAAATCTGAGAGAAATATGAACAACACGGCGGCCATTTTGTGAAAATTAAAAATAAAACGATCTATTAATGTAAGTGTTTCAAACCTATTTTTCCTCAAATGAGTCTTGGAATAGTAGCTATAAGATATTAAAAATTAAACCTAATCACTGTCAATGTTGAAAAATCTATTTTTGAATGTACATTTTTTTTTTAAATGTGATCGTGTTTCAATACTCCTCCACCATTGTGTGTCTGTGCACCAGATAACGAAGTAGGCTACTTATAAAGCTTTTAAAACATGTTTTCCCCAAATTGTGTCTTAATATAAGGTTTAAATCATGTAAACAATTAAATGTAATTGAGTAGACCTATATTAATCCGTCTAAAATATACATTTTTACAGATGTCATTATTATATTCCTCCTGCTCCGTTTTTACCTACCTTGAGTCAGCAGACAGCTGTTTGAAAGGAAGTGATGTAATCCGACCTGGCGGGAAAATCCCATAAACCAGGAAGTGCATTGTTTGTAATGGAACCACCATGGATGTATAATAAGAACTGGATACAGCGTGGGAGGCGGGGCCTCATTAATTCCTATGAGAGTTGCTCAATAGCGCATGATGACAAAATGGCCCAACTTTTGAGAGAGCGAAACGTCACAGATTACCCGGCATGCCTGAGAAGTACCCGTATGTGCGCTCTTAGCGCATGCGCAACTTTAACCACGCCGCTCAAAAGGCTCGTTCACATTAAGCACGTGAATTTGCGTACACGTAACAGCACCGCACGTTCATGACAGCATGGTACTGGATTTATATTAACGAGGCGGCAGTTAGCAGCTTGCGGCTAGCTAGTAAATTATGCTAACTTACACATCAATCGTTATGTACTTTTATATTACGCTGACATCAGGATCTAGTGATATCCAAGCAACAGAGCTTCATTTAGCATGATACTTGTGTGGGTTGTACATGAAACCACTTGGTAATATATAAAAATGTATATGTTGAAGCCTGTTATTTTAATTGTGAGTTAAAACGTTACCTAAAAAGTAAAGCTGACGATGGATTACTGTGGTGGAGTTAAAATAACAATAGCCTATTTATTTTTGAAATGTGATGGAGTAAAAGGATAGTAACTGTGATTATTCATGTTAAGTAGCCCACAAGTAACTAAAACGTATAATACTTGAAGGAAAGGTGTAAAATGTTCCCATAAATACCAATATCACAGTACAACACCCCTTGTTGTTAAATACCAACCATGTGTATATATATATATATATGCCGCTAAAACTGTGTAATATACCAGGCTGCTAAATCCTCCAAACTGTTACAGGATGTGTATTTTGTGAAATGTGTATTTGTTTTTAATTATAATTTATTGTTTTGAATCTTTAATACTTTTTTTATGCATACTTTAAGTAACATTAGGCTGTCTTTGGCTCTTTTCTGCTGTAACAATGTAAATGTATTCTGATCTAATTGATGTTTTTGTCAGTTTGTTTCCCTATATTGCGACACTTTGGCTAGAATCCAAAATGCAGAACCACTTTAGATTGTAGCCTCAAGGGACTGTTTAAGGTTACTTAAAAACACATCATTTCCCAAATTGGTGAAATGAACTCCATCTCTTAGAAATATGCCAGGGCAGTCAAACTTAATGCAAGGATGCCTTACACTCTCTCCACCCAAACCACTAACACATTTACCCATCTCTCTGTTCACCCACATTCTGGCCTTGTTCAGCTTTCCCGGATTGGCTTTCCTCCAGTGACATCTCTCATTGATAGAAGATAGAATTATCTTCATCTCTGAGAAGTTGTCACTGAGGGAAAGCAGGTCCTGCTTCATCGCTGTGACAAGCTCCACACCTTTGATGTTGCCAAGGTCGTTGCCGCCACCGTGGATGAGCAAGACATCCGGGACTGTTCTTCCTCTCAAGGACTGATAGAAAAAGGGAAGAAGGTTCCTCCACCTCAGACCACCCTTGCCAAACCACCACACACGGCAATTGAGACCCAGGTTGCTTCCCATGGTGTGTCTGGCTCTTTCTTCCCCACGTCTAATGTAGCTGCTCCCTATTATCCACACATTGGGACCTAGATAGAATAAAATATATTGAAAAAGGAAAAAAAAAGTGTTTACTGGTGATTATCTTTTAGAAAAAGGCGGTACATGTAGCCTGAGTTGTCATATCATTTTCATCATATTTTTAAGACTACACAAGTTTAATTTGTATATTATATTACATATAACTCTATACTTGTATACAGAATCATGATGAAACTTTATAAGGATTAAGATTATATATTACATTAAATAATGCATGACGATTTCATGCATTATTACGAAGCAGGATGTATCAAGTCACTGACTTTTTGTGATAAGGTCACAATCAACTGATTTCACTTATCAGATGTAAAAATAAGGTACAATATATTTGTTTTTGCCATATGAAAGTAAAGGGTATGCAATCAAAAAATTACTGAAACAAAATGAATACAAATTCTTATAAAAACTATACAGCACCTTGTCCAAGTATGGCGGGAGGCCCACTTTCCTTCAGGATTTCCTCTCTGGATGACGATCCAGCTATTTCTGCCATCTATAAATAAAGTACAAATGATTAGCTCTTCACGCCTCTTTAAAATAATATGTGTTCTTGAAGATTCTGTATGCATCGTCGTTTACAATGGTAGGGACATTGCATTGGAAATTAGTTGTGAAAAAGATATGTCATTTTTAGTTTTTTCATCTCACATTTATAGATTTTAAATACAAATATATATATATATAAAACGAATTATAAATGCAAAGTCTGGTTTCTAGAAAGTTAGCTAATGCATACAGAGTTAACATTGCAGAACTGCTGGCATGAATACATTTCTAGCATTTTGGTTAACTATGAAAAGTATGGAAAATTACTGTGCAAACACCCAACATTAGCTTAGCCACAGTAGCGGTTGCTGATGAGTGGTTTGGCTTATTTTACTCTTTTATATGAGAACATGTTACATTACATACAGACATTAAGGAGGCAGGTTAGAAAATACATATGTTTTCGTCTCTTACCTTTTGGAGCAAACTGTTGTCGGTTGTTAGCATAGACTGTCTGTATATATAAAGCGTTGTCTCTTTAGCCTCAGTGACGTGACAGTGAACACTGAACGTGACCGCGTGTGAAGGGGGAGGGGCGCGGGGGATTTAGGTCTGGGCTGCGCTAAATTCAGCCTCTCTTTCCAACATCTCCTGTGGCGGCAATCCACATTCTATACTATTCTATACTTCCTTCTATATATGTATGAGCTCTGTATGTGTTTTATTTTCCTTATGACTGTTGTAAGTAAACTTTTTTATTCTATACTTCCTTCTATATATGTATGAGCTCTGTATGTGTTTTCTTTTCCTTATGACTGTTGTAAGTTAACTTATTTATTCTATATATTCTTCTATATTTGTATTTGAATGTATGTCACAGTCCTCTGTTTATTTATTGTTAAGCAACGCAACACATGGTTTTCAACAGTGGAACGATTAATGTGAATGTCAACAGCAACATCCCAAGCTTCTTTCTAGCCAATATTCATTATGTTGTATTTGTACCTTCAACTGTAACTGAAAGTTCAATTTGGTGTATTTTGTTTGCAAGTCTGTGTTCAACATACTACTTGGAGTACGCTTAACGCGGCACAAGTCTATACTGAACATGGACACGCAAAATTCTAAACATGTATTTTTTCATATCTGATACCAAATCTTGCATCTCCACACTGGAGATGTATATTAGTTATTTAGAGTTTAGTGTTCAATGTATTCAATGTATTCAATGTGTTAAATGTATTCAATGTGTTAAATGTATTCAATGTGTTAAATGTATTCAATGTATTCAAAGTATTCAATGTATTCAATGTGTTAAATGTATTCAATGTGTTAAATGTATTCATTGTATTCAATGTATTAAAATAACTATCCAAACATTTTATATGTAAGTTATTTATATGTATGTAAGTGTTGTCTCGTGTGTATGTACTGTTTGTGATCGTTGTTGTGTCCTCACTCGTGGCCTGCACCTTGACGTGGTGAGTGGGCTTTAAACTAAGACAGGCCATTTATGTTTGAAATATCATGCTAACAAACCTGCAATTACAGAATTGAATGATAGTGGTTATATATGTTCATGTCTTGCTGACATTATTACATTTTTTAAATGGTTCTCCTCTCTCCTGCAGTCAGCTGTGATTCCAGGTGTTCATGCTGCCGCCCGCCTCCCCCCCATCCACCTCCTTTCATCATATCCAGGAGAGCTAATCCAAAGACCTCATCACACCTCCTCTTCATCCCATCTCCTCATCAAATCCAGATCTTCAGCATTATCACCAGTGTCTAGACCCCGGGGGGTTCCCTATATGCTCACGGCTGCATTTCCCCTCTTAGATATACGATTTCAGGATCGGGGTCTAATCGCCAAAGACTTAACATTTATCATATGACATATGTCAATAAATGTTCTTTAAACAAAATGAAGTCTCTCCTGATTGAACTGTCTGGACCCCATCCTCAACTTTTTTCAAACCATAACATGCCTTCAGAGGGCTTTCCTGTTGATAATGTTTGGTGGATTTTTTAATAGAATAATTGTAATCAATATTATATTACCTTTTAATCTATATAAATTGTGTTAAAAAATGTTGTCAATATTTTGTTCACCTTGTTCTACTATGCCAGCCATCAGATGTATACATTTGTTAACATCTCTTTTAGGTTTAATTTCTTATATTTGTGAATTTCTATATAAAATGCTAATTTCTACCTGAAATGCTTATGTATTTTTAATTACATTTTCGTAAAGCTTTCACTTTTTCAGCGGAATAAATATTATAACTGGTTTTGTTCAGCATTGCCAGCTTCACTGTTGAGCGTGATGTTGTGCCCAGCATTCTCCTGTCCTGTGCTCTGAAATCAAAATGTGGATAAGAATAAAACAACACTAAAATAAACACTACAATACAACTTGTAAAACTTTTGAAAAAACACAAGGTTGTTCATTTGTGTGTATACATATACAACACAGGCAATATACATATATATATATATATACAATTATAATTAATACAACTGTTAATTTGATTAGAGCTTTGACACATATCTTTATTGATATATGTATAAATATGACGACTTAATATATAGTCGGCCTAATAGCAAACAGCTACGTTCAACTCTTTTAATGGTAAGCTACAGGAACGTTAATCTACGTCGGTAATATTATTAACTTTATTTAATACAACATTTACGGTACAAGATTTACATCATAGCTTACAGCCCATGTAGTATATTATTTTACAAATGATGAATTACAGCAAACATGTGCAATATATCCATTATTACAGCTCCGTGGGCTGGCAGTAAGGCGATATGGTCTGTTGTTATTGTGCATCCATGGGTAAAGATAAACGCATGTAGTGCTGAACACGTCACATCACATGAATGTGCCGGGCAGCGCGGTCCCATGGGTTAGATGCGCGTTCATAATGCCGAGGGAAATAACTCTCAGAATAACGTTATTAGCACATTTCTACAACTTGAAGAACGAATGTTTTTAATAAGGGCTATACAAGTGTTCATACTGGGTTGTTTATTTAGTTTAAAAAAAATTATCCAACGAGTTACAGACCACTCTTTCCCCATGTAAGTCAATGGGAAAAAGTGTTTCCAGGCCCAGCAACCAAACGGAAGTGTAGTACCGCCGTTTGGCCACTACGAATATTCTCATCAGACTCCGGCGCACTTCCTGTGGGCTTGGGAACCACGTGTTGTGGTTAGTTGAATGTAAAACAAGCGGGTCAAAGGTGAACAGTTCACGTGGTTCTGAGACTATAGAGGCTTCTCAATACTCAAATTTCCCCTCCTCGACTGCTCGACTCCTCGGTCCTCCGGTAGTGACCCGGAAATGAATTTCAGCGCGCCATTTTGAAGGACGTCTCATTTCTCTAAATGCACACCGAGGACCGAGCATCGAGCGTCGAGGAGGCTCTCTGGAGGAGCTATAACCGAGGATACACTGATGGTTCCTCCACGGCTCCTCCACGGATGCATTTCCGGGAACGGTGGAGGCGTGACGCACGGCCGGACTTATCTCAGCCAATGACAGCTATGCATGCATCCCCTGGATATTATTTTAGAAACTGCTTTCATCGCGTCGCGATCTTTCCAGAGAGAACAGCTGTAAGGTCCATGCAGAAAGCAGAGCAGTGTGTATAATATATATCACTCAGTATAACAGGCCTACTCTCTTTATTTGCTTTAGTTTAGTAGATATCTACAAACAAAGAGTCGATATTTTTCTAAGACCATTGCTTCACATAATAAAATACACAACGGCTTATGCTTTAGGAGCTGTAGGTGTGTGTGGTACAGTGTGTAGGTGTGTGTGTGGTACAGTGTGTAGGTGTGTGTTGTACAGTGCGTAAATGCGGTGGACAGACGGGTCTCAGTTGGTTTGGTGTCCTCTGCTTACTTTTAATACTTGTAAATACAACTTTTGGCCCGTAATTTCAATTCCCCATTTCAGCGACCAGAGAGAGGGGGGGATATATCGAGTCTCTGATTGTGTTACGTTATTATGAGAGTGCTCTCATACTTTAAATTGTATATATAAATATATTTGTGTGTGTGTGTCCGCATCTGTAGCCTGTTATTGTCTCATTATACCGCACTCTCAATGAATTCAAAGTAAATATGTGGGGGAACAATGTTCAGCTAATCTAACAGAGATACAGCGCTATGACAAAACACTCGACAGCTGATGCAGCTGTTGCCACGTAATAATGAACGGACGTCTCTTTAAAATGACCGCTCAGAGGAGAGGAGTTCTCATTTCTTTAAACGTCTGCTGCTTCCCCTCCTCTCTCCTCGGTTCCCCTCCTCGGTCCTACGCTCGCATATCCTGTGGGCGGGTCTAAGTCTCGAGGAGGGGAACCGAGGAGGGGAGTCAAGGAGGGGAAATTTGAGTATTGAGAAGCCTCTATTGACTTCCCTATTAGCTCCTGTTAGCTTAGCAAAGAAGGAGGGTTCATAGGGCCATGTGGCTTAGATACTCTGATTAGCTTAATGGTAGGTGGTAAAATAACCGGGTCAGGGGTCATGGTTCATAAGTCCTGGGATCGTGACGTCACCATTAGCATAGCTTATCGTTAGCATAAAATTAGCATCTGAATTTTTTTATGAAAAAATATTATTTTAAACTCATTCTAACCTTATTGTATGTATCTATATAAGAGCAAAGTTAAAATCGTACACTCGTAAGTAGATAAATAAAGATATATTCTAAAGATTAAACCTTAAACATTATAAAAATGCCTTAAAGACAGGTTATATTTGCGTTACAACAAATTCTAAGATTTAGGAGTGGACATTTAAACGCCTTCACTCAGTAGAATCGGTCAGTTGACCTCTTCTACTTGTTAGTCTAACCACAACGTTTCATGGTTCAACTAAGGTATAAGTATTACATTTATTAAATAACTATATTATTCTTAAAGTATAAGTAAGGAGATTCTAAAAGGTTTGAATCAAATGGTAATATTAAGGGTCAAATGACCGACCTATTAATGACTCTAATTTAGAAATAGGGTGAGGATAGAGAGAGAGAGAGAGAGGGGGAGAGAGAGAGGCGCATCCCTACTGGGATAATGGTTAGAGAAATTCAGAGACAAGGAGGTACGCAGTGACTACATTGTAACACTCCCCTGGTCA